CCTGCTAAAGGCGCCCACCGCCTCCATCCAATCAAATGTGCCCACAGCTGCTGCGGCGGCTGCGGAAGAGGCAACAACCTCGGCGATGTTTACGTCCTGCATCTGGAAGGCATTAACAATAACAAAAAACAATGAGAGTGTGGACTTTTACAGTGCAGATTATTTATCTGAATATTTCGAGGATTTGACAGGACTGTCTTAAGAGGCCCTTTTGCCTTTGACCTACTTTTACATTTTCAGTAACCCGACTCTTCCTTTTTGCGTTACATTCCCTCAATATAACGTCGAATTTCCCTTTTTTTGTTGAGTAGGCCAATATAAGGTTGAATTTTCCTCAGTAGACATCAATATTCTGAGCAACAAGAGACTGTGTCGATGAACTTCATTATTTTTAGTACATTGAAACAAATATGTTTCTTTAGTTTAATACTTTTTAATCACTTCCACCACAATTAAATATTCATTTACATTCACTAACTAATGATAAAATGTTCGACCACAAAAGACGCTAGACAGTTGGGCGGGGGGAGTTATATTTAGGGGTCTCTACAAGAGACCTAACATTTTGCGCAGATCAATTAAAACGCAGAGATTTAGCTTGGGGTTTACGTTTTAAAATGTCCTATCATTCAACCGCAAAAGTTTTTTTCAATGAAAAGTTTCTTACTAGAATAGACAAACTCATGCAGTTGCGACACAAGGTGAAGTAAAATCGACGTATAACTTCCTTTTCGCTTGATAAACGAAACCTGGAATTCGGTCATACATCAAGAATCTCACGGCTTCTGAATGGTTTCCTGTGGTTGATCGTTGGATAAATGCAATGAACAGTAGATGAAATGCGAAGATCTAAATCTGAGTGGGGGATCTAGCACACATTTGAGGTTGTTTATTTGTTCAGGGAGTTCAATTGAGGCGCAAAATGTTGTTTACTAGAAAAGAATTTAGTTCAGATCAGTATACTGGAGGGGCAAATGGACGGCGGAATTGGGCCAAATCCAACGCCTATTGATAGCCGAGGAATTTCTTATGCTATTGAATACTGCGGAAAAAAACTTCTTTGTTTGTGCGTGTTCTCCTGTAAAGGAATATTAATAAAAACCAGAAACTGGCAGGAGTTTCCTTGGTAGTGGCGGAATAAAACTCCACATTTCCGGCTTTGTCGACAGCGAATCGAGCTCGATTCGGGTTAGGATTAGGCTTATGGTTAGGGTTAGAGGTTGGGGTTAGGGTAAGTGCTAGGGTAAGGGTTAAAGAAAGGATTAGGTTAAAGGGTAAGGGTTGGGGTAGGGGTTAGTGTTAGGGGTGACGATTAGGGTTATGGTTAGGGTAAGGGTTAGTTTTAGGGTTCGGGTAAGGGTATGGAGTTAGGATTAGAGTTATGGTTAGGGTTATGGTAAGGGTTAGTGTTAGAGCAAGGGGTAGGGTGAGGGTAAGTGTTAGGGTAAGCTTTAGAATTAGGGGGTTAGTGTAAGGGTTGGGGTTAGGTTTAGGGTAAGTTTTAGGGTAAGGGTTAGGTTAAGGATAGGGGAAGGGTAAGAGTTATGATTAGGTTGAGGGCGGGATTGTGATATCGTATGTAAAAAGCCCGAA